GGGGGGGAGTAGAGGGAGGCCCCTCCCCTTTCAGGTACTAGGTCCTGTCCTTTCACCTCCAAAATGATTCTCAGGTCTAGCCCTACCTACCCTCCATCACCAGTGACACCATCACTGAAGCCAAGGTACAGGATCTGTAACCCTTGTTTTGCCTCCGACCCTGTCACACCCTTGCTTGGAGTCATCCACTGCCTATGGCTCCCCATTGCCTCCATGGTCAAGTCCACACTCCTGAGTGGGGCTGGCCAGGCTCTCTGTGGCTACAGCCCCACCTAATTATAGCCAGCTCTGGCCACTCCCCAGGAGTTTCCTCCATTCTTGTCCCCAAAGTGAACGTTTTCAGAACTTAGTGCCTGGGCATGTGCTACTCGATCTGCCAGCCCTGCCTTAATGGAAGCCAGGAATCCTGGGTTCCAGCCCCAGCTCCATCTGTAACTGGCTAAGGAAGCCTTGGCACTGGCTCTCTCTGGGCCTTGGTTGCTCCACCTGCAAGGTGGGTGGGAGGTTTGGGCAGGGTGCTCTTTGGCTTCCTCTCTCCTCCCTATGTGATCCCAGGAGAGGAGCTGGGGGTGATGGTCCCTAGATGTAGGGGCAGGACTGCCAGACCCCACCCCCCAGGTGCCCAGTGCCAGAACAATGAGGGACACACCCATGCAATCAATGGTGAGAACCCAGAGTTGCACCTAATCATTAAGCACTAATTAATTCATTTACTGATGAGGTGCTACAGGGACTTCCTGGCCTTCTCCTTAATGCCCTCCTTCTTGCTGCATTTGATCTTCAAGGGATGGGGAACATTTCCAAAAATATCCATTTTCCCATGATTCTCTGGGAGGACTGCTCCGCTCAGCAATCAAAGACGAGGAGGTCACATCCTCCCTGGCAACAACTCCCTGCTTGTAGACCTGTTTTCTTTCAGGGTTGCTCCCTGCCTCCCAACCAACCAGGGACTCCAGCTCCCAGCCCCACATCTGGGGTGTGAAAGGGGGGCTTGGGCTAAGGGGGTAGCTCTTGTTATCCTCACCAGGACCCCCTTAGATAGGGACAGGTGACATGTTCTGAATCTTATGTAAGGTTATATAAATATAGCTCCAAGACAATAATAATAACAGCTCACACCACCTGCCGGGTGGAGCTCCCAGCATCTGCATATGTTAACTAAAAATGCTCACTCAACCATAAGGTGGGGAGCCGATGTTAAGATCATTCCTGTCTTGCAGATAAGGACGTTGAGAGGTTGCGTGACTTGCCCAAGGTCACACGGCTAGTGAGGGGTGGTGCCAGGTTTTGAACCCAGGCTGTCTGAGTGGAGAGTCATGCTCTTAACACTGCTTTTTTCTGCCTATCGTAAGGCAAGAACCACGGCTCCCAAGTCCCTTTCTTTGCAGACATTCCGGAGCAGCTTCTGGTCCCAGGCACTTCAGGTCCACGGCAGAGACACTGGATCCCCTGGTTCCCTGCCTCGCCCCAGACCTCTCTGAACACCCCGTCACTGAGTCCTCAGCCCTCTCATAGCTTATCCCTCATTTAGCAATTAGGAGAGAATTAGCAGCATCTTAGCCAACTCTGCCCAAGGGCTCAACTCTGTGAGATGACACTTGAGACTCAGGTCCACTGTCAGGGAAGCTGAGCAGAGCTTTAAAAATCTATTTAGCCTCGTTTGTTTCCCCACTGGCACGCTATAGAGGGGTGAGCAGCCTCTTGGCAGAGGGGCTGGGGAGCGGGTTAGAGAGGAGGCCTCACAGCCTCGCAGCCCTGGAGGCCAAGCCATGCCTCCCTCTCTCAGGGACACAGTAGCATCATCCCCCACCACCCACACGGTCATCTCCCTCTGATCCTGATGCTGCGAACGGAGAGGAAGCTCCCAGGCTGGACTGCTCCTTGGCCCAGCCTCCCTGGTGCATAGGAGAGGGGCTAAAGAGGCCAGTGGGCCCAGTCCCTCACGCAGCCCAGTAGCACTGAGCAGGCCCTGGGCCCCCACCTCTGTCTCCCCCACACTGCTCTGTCCCTGCCTGGCCCCAGGCTCAGGCACTGGGACTCAGGCAGTTTCCCCAGCCCTCCTCCACCCTGTGACATGAGAGTCAGTGGGAACCACAGAAAGGCCTGCAGCAGGACAGAGGCTCCAGAGGAAATAGCTCGGTACTCAGTTCTCTTCCAGCCTGGAGTCAGGGCCAGAATTAAGTCAAGGACTTATCTTTAGAGCCACCGATGCTGAAGGGGAGACAGGGTGGGGCAGGACAACTTTATCAGCAAAGGAGAAAAACTTCAAGGTTGGGATCTCCCTTGTCCTTCCCTACTGGGTTTCAGAGCCCTGGTGACCCCCCCCCCCCGGG